CCTGTGACATTTGGTACCAAACAAGCCTCAGTGATGAGTCAGTATTTTTTTTTTTTACTTGACAAGTTCTTTTATTGTGTTTATTTTAATATTTTTTTGTGACACAAGTAATACTCACACATACACATATATATTCATTGATTGGAAAATGAGAAGATGCAGATAGGCAAAAATGAAATAAAGTACAGGTCACACAGAGTGTATTACCTTTTGGTGTGCAATAACTGTTTGCATTATATCAGATACAAATGTACATTTTATATATATAATGTTTTGCAATGTGTTGTTTTCACTTTACAATATATGAGTATCTGCTAATTCAAGTGAATGAAACATCCTGTTAAATGAATGAGATTGGGTCAAAAGATGAGATGTTGGTAACAAGAGTCACCTGTAAATCAAAAGAACATTGAAGGATTAGGGCCCTCCTCTTTTTCTTGCCTTAAGATAGATGTCTGGCCCTGACCTGTCTGGTCCCGTGGATAGAGCATCGGCCTGCGGACTCAAGGGTCCCAGGTTCGATTCCGGTCAAGGGCATGTACCTTGGTTGTGGGCACATACCCAGTGAGGAGTGTGCAGGAGGCAGCTGATCAATGTTTCTCTCTCATCGATGTTTCTAACTCTCTATCCCTCTCCCTTCCTCTCTGTAGGAAATCAATAAAATATATTTAAAAAAAAAAAGATAGATGTCTGTGAACCCAGACCCTCTGAGCACCTACAGACATAAAAAAGGGGGAGGGCAAAGGAGAGTTCTCTGCTGGGATTTAAGGAATTTACATCCTCTTTCTCTTGGCCACAATCATAATCATCTACTTTCAGGGCAGTAAGGACCTGAGTCAGTTTTAAATCATCTGCAAGGAGGGAGAAAATCTAAGAATTCCTCTCCTAGCTGGTCACCACAGGCTAGTCCCAAATTCAAGACTGAGAGCCCCAGGCACTGGGAGAACTGGCCACAGAGGTCCTTGGATAATGGTGGGAAGGCACAAGCCTGGCCTAGGGCATCAGAGAGCCTGGCTCTAATCCTGGCTTTGTCACTCTTATTGTGTGGCCTTAGGTAAGTCACTTCTCTCTGGGCCTCAATTTACTCTGTAAAATGTATACAGTAATACCTACTAAGAAAGTTGTGAAAACTAGAGATGATGCTAACATAGGAGCTACATTAGTCTCTGACACATGGTAGGCTTTTAACAATTAGTAGCTCTCATTTTTATTATTATTAGGCACTTAGATTTTACATGTTAGTCTCCCCAGTGTTTGTTGATATCTCAAAGATAGGAACTATGTCTTAAATGCCGGTGTATCCCAAGGACTAGCCTAGTTCAAAATTTATACTAATGCTAAACTTGCTCTGTGGTAAGAGTCCAAGCTTTGGAATCAAACTGAATGGAAAATGAATCCTGGATGCAATACCCAATAGCTGTTTCAATATTGACTTTTTCTACCTGGGCCTCAGTTATTTTTCTATAACATGGAATAATAATACCCACCTCCAAGTTTGATCAGATAAGATTGTTGTACCACTGCATTTCAGCCAAACATGATTCTTATAGTAACTGCTCTCCTGCTCAGAGCCCCATAATTTAAGACGGACTTTGACCAATCAGAAGGTGATCAGAGGCAGCTTGGTCTAGGAAACAATTGATGTAAGTATCATCTGAAGAGCTGGGGACTTTTGCCCTTTACTGGGGAATAATATGCCAACAAAGGACTTTTATGCAGAATACATAAAGAATCCCCAAAACGTAACATTAAGGAAACAAACAATACCATTAAGAAATATGCAAAAGACTTTAACAGTTACTTCACAGATAGCAAATAAGCACATGAAAAAATATTTCACCTTCATGAGCTGGTAAGGAAATGAATAAAAAGCTACAGAATACTAAATGAGCATAAAGCTATCAGAATACTAAAGTAAAAACACTGGCAATACCGAGTAAGGGATGAAGCAACTTTTGGAAGACAGTTTGGTGTTTTCATAAAGTTAACCATACATCTATTATATTTATTAATTTCCTATGGCCAGTGTAACAAATCACCATAAACTTGGTGGCTTAACATAATAGAAAGTTATTCTCTCACAACTCTAGGGGCCAGAAGCTCAAAATTAATTTTGCTGGACCAAAATTAAAGTCTCTAGGGGGAAATCTGTCCCTTGCCTCTTTGTCTGGTGACTGCCAGCATTCCTTTGTTGGAGCTGCATCACTCTAATCTCTGTCTCTGTCTTCCTATCAATATCTGTGTGTGTCTATCTCCTGCCTTTCCCATATAAGGGCACTTGTGATGACACTTTGGGCCCACCTAGATAATTCAGGATAATCTCCTCAAAATTTTCAATTTAATTACATCTGCAAAAATTTTACCATATATGGCAACATTTACAGAGTCTAGAGATTAGGACCTGATGTCTTTGGGGACCACCATTCAGCCCACTCTACCATACAAAATAGCAATCATGCAGCTAGGTATTTATCCTATAAAACAAAAATGTATGTCTATACAAAAGCTATACATGAATGTTCATAGCAGCTTTATATTTAATAGATAAAAACTGGAAACAACCCAAATGTTCTTCAATGGGCAAATAGTACAACCATACAATGAAATATATGTAGCTATGAAATGAAATGAACTATCCATACACACAATATTTTGAGTGGATCTCAAGGGTATTATGCAGAGTAAAAGAAGCCAATCTCAAAAAGTTATATACTGTATAATTCCACTTATATAACACTTCTGAAATTATGAAATTATAAAAATGGAGACTGGATCAGTGGTTACCAGGAATTAGGTTTAGGAGGAAGGTATGACTATATAAAGGAATAGCATGAAGAAGTTTCTTTGTGGTGATAGAACAATTCTTTATCCTGATTGTGGCAGTGGTTATAAAAAGCTACATATGTGATAAACTTTTATAGTACTAAACACCAAAAAAAGTATATATAAAAACTGTTATAATTGAATAGGACCAATAATAGCTTAGTTATTCTATATATATAAAAGCCTAAGTGACCAAATGGCTGGCTGGTCGACTGCCTGCCCCCTGGTGGTCAGTGCACATCATAGCGAGCATAGCATATCATTAGCATATTACGCTTTGATTGGTTGAATGGCCAACTGGGCCAGACACTTAGCATATTAGGCTTTTATTATATAGGATTATCAATGGGGAAAGCTAGGTGAAAGATATATGGAACTCTGTACTATTTTTATAACTTCTTGTGAGTCTTAAATAGTTTAAAAAGAAAAAGTTTAAAAAAATTTAAAAAGGAAATTTATTCACTCTGTAGGTGATTAGTCCAAAAGTAAGGGTGGGCTTTAGGCATGGTTTGAATAGAAGTTCACAATGTCCTCAGGCTTGTGACTACATCCTCTGAGATTCTGCCCTCTATTTATGTTGGCTTTCTCCTCAGACTGACTTTTCTCATGGCACTAAGTTTACTGCCAGCATTCCCTGAGGCTACGTGCTTTTTGTTCCCTTCTATGCACCAGGAGGAGAAAGAGGGAGCTATTATTTTCCTTTAGTCGGGGGTAAATATAAAGGCCTGAGCTCTATTCTGATTAGATCACCTTAGGTCATGTGCCCACCCCTAAAGCAATCACTGTGCCCAGGGAAATGCTATGAATTGATTTCCCATCCACATGGCAAAGAAATGGAATTACTTGATTGGTTCAGATCAATCAGGTCCCACTCCTGTCGCTGAAATGGAGCCAATCCCACCCTACTATAATTGCTATTACCAGGTAGGGAAGGGGAAAATGGATTTGGGTAGCCAACTCCAATATCCAGTACATCATTCTTGAAATTCACTCTTCCCTTGGTTTCAAAGGCACCATTTTTTTCCCTAGATATCCTCCATCAATGGGTCTTATAGTAGATGAGTTTTCTAGAAAGAGAAGGTATAAAATGTCATTCTAGAAGAAACAGCACAAAGACCCAGAGATGTGAAGGAATGGACCCGTTTAGGGAATAATGAAAATTTTGGTGTGGCAAAGCATAGAGTTCATGAGGGAAGAGTGGTTAGTAATGAAGCTGAAGAGAAGAGATGGGACCAGTAGTGAGAGCTTTGAAATATCACAGTCAATGGTAAGACATTTGAAGACTTTTGAAAAAGAATAGTCCCTGGACTCACTTGACCTAAGAAAGATCTCTCTGGCTACAGCCCAGAGGATAGCCTGGAGGGGCCTGACCAGAGGCTGTTCCAGTGCTCTGGGCGGAAGTTGAATGCCTTACCAAAGGTGGTAGCTTTGAGGATGGAGAGAAATGGATGAATATGGCAGACAGTGATTTGGGGGAATCAGCAGGACCTGGTGAACTGCTAGGCTTTGTGAAGGGATTGGAGGAGAAGGTGTAAGAGATGACTCACATTTCTGGCTGAACACTTGATGCATTTTTTAGGCAGGAATGCCCAATTGTGTCAAATGCTGATAAGCCTAGCGAGATAAGGACTTATAAATGACCATGGATTTAGTGACAAATGTTTTAAGGTGTGGTGGGGGCAGAACCAAGAAGTCAGGGAAGTGGAGAATAATAAAGCCAAGTGAGCCTCCTTTCAAATTCAGATATAAGAGGAGGAGAGGATAAAGCAATAATAAAGAAAGTCATGGAATCTATTAAAATAATGTATGTTTTTACATTTTCCAGCACTTCTCTGCCTACGGGTTGTGAAATAAGCTTGTATCTATAAAATTAGTTTTTTAATAGTACCTACCTCATGGGTTTATGTTGAAGATCAAGTCTTCATATCTCCTAACAATTGTTTAGTCTGTCTCCCCCACTAAACTTTAAGTTCATTAGGAACACTGACAGCTCCTAGTGCAAGGCATGGTATATTGCTAATAAACTAATAAATGTTTGTTAAATGAGTGTTAAGATTCTGAGCACAGTCCTACCTGCCCAAGATAAGCACTCAGGGAAGTTAGCCAGGGTGTGTGAGCCTGATGGGAGGAATGGGATGCAGGAGGAAACCCTATGCCCTCAGCTTACTGTTTTCCAGAACCCGAGGAAATGTCCCCTGACTGCCAAGATGGGAATACAGGCAAGTTGGTGGAGATACCAGGAGTGAATTCTCTAAGGCAGAGTCACCCCTTCCTGAACTCACGGCTGGACTGCAATGAGGAGCAGGCGATGGACCCCAAACACCTCTTCCAGTACTGCTTCATGGCCACAGTGACTACCAGTGACATTCCAGGCAGCCCTGAGGAGGCCCTTGTCCCCAATCTAATCGCACATGGACCAGACCCATAGACATCCAATAAACTTCTCTACACCATCCTCTTCTGGAGTCTCTTTTCAGTGAAAGGTGGGGGTAGGGATGATCAAAGGGACTTGATAAAAATGGGACGAACGAGATAAATGAAGGCTTTTCCCAGCCAATCTACCCAGGGCCTGCTGTGGACCCAGCTATTCTGCTCTGCCTGGCCCACTATGAACCAAAGGGAGTTCAGTCATGGATCCCAAGTAAAATGATCAGTAACAATTCCATGCAATAAAAGAGAAGCCTGGGGCCTGAGGAGGTTCAGACGAGCCCCTCACCTGACCTGAAGAGTCAGAACCCTGACTTGTTCTTCCTGCCACAGAGCAGGTATACTAAGGGTACCATGGAAGATGACTGGTACCCGGAGGCAAGTGACTCCTGCCTCTCCAGCAGCTCTGCCCCACTCTTAGAGTGAGCCCCTTGCCAAGGAATAGAACAAGAGGGAATGTAGAGTACATAGGGCCCAACCATGTTTAGTATCATTCAACTAGTGACCTGGTGCACGGATTCATGCACATTGAAAGGAAATTAATTAGAAGGTGGCCAGTGGGGTGGGACTGGGCAAGATGGGCCGGACATGCCCTGGAGCCAACTTCCCTCAGTCCCTCCCTGGCTGGCCACGCCTCAGGTGGCACTGTGGCTCAAAAGGAGTCTGTGGAGTGAATGGGGTCCCTCTGGCAGGTGAGGTTCCTCGACCTGGCCTGTGAGGATTGGGCTGAAACTGGCTCTGTGACATCCCCCAAGGGGTCCCAGAGTGTGAGAGGGCACTCTGCAAAGTTGCTGTCGTACAGGGTGTGAAACACAAACGAAAGCATGCAGTAAACCAGATTTGGGGCTGACAGTGCCCCAGCAACAACATAACTCACAGCCGAAGGTGGAATCTCACTGCTCCCGCCTCTCTGGTTTTGGGGTGTGTCACCCGAAAACCGCTGCTGCCAAGTCACTGCACTTCAGCAGCTCCTGCGTTGAGCGTCTGCCCCCTGGTGGTCTGTGTGCATCATAGCAACCATTTGGACGGGTGGAGGAACACTTAGCATATTAGCCTTTTATATATATAGATACCTTAGGTGGATGAAAAGAGTGAATCAACAAGTAAGTGAAGGAATGAATGGTTAGCAGACCAAACACAGGCTCCACAAGGTGGGCTTGGCCACTTCCTGACCTATGTGTTCTTGATGAAGTCCCTTAGTCTCCCTGAGCCTCGGTTCCTTTGCTGGGTTAGGGCAAGTGTTCAGAGATGATGGATATGAACCCCCTTCATAAACATGAAAGTACTACAAATATTTTAAAATTAAAAATGGATGTTTTTTCAATATAACTGTAAGAGCAGGTACTCTGGAGCCAATGCCTGGTTCAAATCTTCTCCCTGCTCATCCATCTAGGTAGCTATAATAGTAGTACCTACCTTATAGGATTTTGGAGGATTAAATTACTTTGTTTGTGCCAAGTACTTAGAATAGAGTTGGAAAATGGAAAGCTTTTTTTTTTTTCTTAAATTAAGCTGATAGCAAAGAAATCTTAGGGCAGAATGCTGACTGCCACCCCTCTCTCTCATTTGTTCTCTTTTTTAATTTATTTTGAAAGTCTAATTGGCTTAATCAAGTGATTCATGAAGAGAGCAGCATCCCATGTAGCAGATACAGAGGAGCACCCCCCCCCCCCCCCCTGTTTTCTTCATCTTAACTTTAGCAGTGGCTTTAGGCTTTGCCTTGAAGTGCAAGGCAAGTATTGGTGAGACTCAGTAGCCACTAAAAGCAGCTCTTGACATTTCTCACAGTGACACAACCTGCTGCTGGATTTGACAACAGTGAATTGGTCACTCTTAGATATCTGTACATGGAGCTCGAGCCAGCCAAGGGCACATGATGGGGTGGCAAGGCCGGGTGAGTCACCCACAGAAGTACCCTAGGCTGGAAGCCAAGAGGCCTCAGTTCTGGTCTTGCTTCATTTGTTGTCTTCTGTGCATGTGTGTATCTTATTTTCAGCATTCTAAACCCAGCACTTTTGTCTACTTCTTGTATATTCAGTGGCATCTTCTGTGCCAGGACCTGTGCAGGTTACCAGAAACAAAAGGGCATCAGCCACAGAGCTGCCCTCAAGGGATCATCTGGAGGGCAAGGTAGGCACACAAAAGGGCAGTTGGCCCAAAGGCAGCCCTTCATGCAGCTTGAGAAAGCAATGTGATGTCTGAGCTGAATCATCAAAGATGAGTCAGAGTTTCCAGGTAAGACAAGGTCAGAAGACATTATGGTCAGAGTACAACCTGTTCAAAAACAGTGAGAGAGCCTAGCATAGCCCAGGAACTGCACATTGCAGGAAGTTTAGTCTCTGATGTTCTGTGTGATCTTTCACAGGACAGATCCCACCGCTCTCCTTAGCATCCCCATCAGTAAAATCCAATTTTTCTCGGAACTCTTTTTATACTGGTCCATCTGGGGGGTTGCTAGGAAGAATCCAATGTTGCCCTTGCCTTTAGGTCTGATAGGGGAAGATAATCTGTAAAATCTAAAAACTCCAGTGGTTGTCAGTGGCCTAAAACAATGGCTCTCTTGAGCCTGCTTCAGAATCAGCTGGAGGGCTTGTGAAAACACAGATTGCTGGGTCCTCCTCTCTCCCCCCTCAGAGTGTGCAGTAGGTCTGGAGAAAGTCCCCAGAATTTGCATTTCTAAGTAGTTCCAGGTGATGTTGCTGCTGCTAGTCTTTGACCACCCTTTGACCAAGACTAGCCAAGAAGAACAAAAAGGACTCAGAGCTGGAGATTAGGAGGAGACCTCACACTGAGCAGGGCCTTGAAGACCTGGTAGAATTTCCCCAGCAGGAGCCTGTGTGGATGGGGTGGGTATAGGGGGAAAATAGACTGTGTGTGCTGTCTTTGTTGACCTACACATCCCAGGCCCATAAAGCTCTTCCCCATCCATTCCCCAGATTCAGCTTCTCTTGTTTGAATTCAATCAACCCTCAGAGCTGGCTCTCACTGGGGTTGGCTTGTCTGAATCTTGGGTGGGAAACAAACTGCCCACCCTGTGCAGCAGGAGTCCCCCCTCCCCCAGGGCAGCCGAGGAGGAAGGAAGCGGGTAGGCTGACGCACAGACAGAAATAGTCTGAGCTCACTGCTGTTCCCAAGCACACATCGACCGGCAATTATTTCTTGTAAATTGCTTTCCCGGTTATGTTCAGAGCCCGTGTGTGTGTGTGTGTGTGTGTGTGTGTGTGTGTGTGTGTGTGTGTCCACGCGCGCCTGCCTGAGAACAAACACCCAGAGGTGGATAGCTGAGGAGTGTTATCCAGAGGGAGGGGAGCCCAAGTCTGAATCTTCACCAAGAACTAGGGAACTGTTGACTCTTAAAACTTGAAATATTAGAACCTTCCATCCACTTTTATAACACTCCTGTCAGGTGGTTTTCCGGCCTCTTCTCAAACATTCACATTTTTTTTTGTTCCTTCAACGTTGATTGACAATGATGCTCTGCCAGGATATGAGCTAAATGAAGTCCCAGTTCCTGTCTTCAAGGAGCTCAGGCCTATGGTGTCTATAGGAGGTTCCCTAACCCAGCCAAGAGCTTTAGGGAAGCCCTCTTGGAGTAAGTGATCCCTGAATTAAGTCTTGAAATACCCACAGACAAGTGAAAAGAGGTTTGTCGTACAAGATAGGGAATAGCATTCAAGGCAGAAGGAACAGCATAATAAGTAGCTCAGTTTGGTGGACACTATAGTCAAGATAGGGAAGAGTGAGAGATGAAGCTTCAGGGGAATAGAGGTCAAGTCCTGAAGCCTTTGCCATATTAAGGGCTTTGGCTTTATCCTGCCAGGCAAGGGGGAGCCAGAGGAAAGGGTATTTTTTTCATCCTCACCCAAGGATATGTTTTATATTGATTTTAGAGAGAGAGAAAGGGAGAGGGAGAGGGAGAGGGAGAGAAACATCTATGTGAGAGAATAACATCGATTGGTTGCCCACTGTGCACACTCAGACTGGGGATCAAACAGCAACCTGGGTATGTGCTCTGACTGGGAATGGAACCACAACCCTTTGGTGCACGGGATAATGCCCCAACCAACTGAGCCACACCAGCCAGGACGGGAAAGGGTTTTTTTTTAAGCAGAGAAAGGAACTCAGCACCTTATCTGATAGCTTGCTCTCATGTTCTTCATGACACTGAAGTGAAATTTGCCACCTAGGAGCTCTTGAATGCCTGCCCCTTTCTTTCCCCAAACCCTAGAAGTCTGAAGGCTTGTGTGCCCACAAGAAATGGCTCAAGCCCTGCACATATCTCCTCTTGTTAGGAGGAGGCCATTCCACGGCCATCTGCAACACTGCTCTTCCTGCCCTACGCATAGTTAGCTCAGAGCCAGAGCATGGGGCAACTGAAGCCCAGGCCACAGGCCAGAGCCCAAGAGAGCGCTGTGCTTTGTTCTGTTCGAGACCTGGGAAACTCTCATGTATGAAGAGGATGTGAATGGCTCCTTTTCCATTCCTCACAGGATCAAGGCCACCAGAGTGAGTAGTGGGTAGTCCATTCAAGGAGTTTTGACTGAAAACATACTGTGGGTCCAGCACTCTGACAAGCACTTTAGGATAGAAGTTGCAGCCCTGCTCTCAGGGACTTACTCACTGGGGATGAAGAGTAGGTTTGACCCATGAAACTCCTAGAGTGCAGTTAAAAAAATTTTGAAAGCAAATGCCAAGGAGTTAGGCAAAAACCATTAGAGTTCCAGAAATTCTAAAACAGGATAAAAGAAATAATCTGGAAATCTTTGAGGAGGAAGTGGTGGTTTGAATTTGAGCTTGATGGACCATGGCAATATTTTTTTAAATATATTTTTAATGATTTCAGAGAGGAAGGGAGAGGGAGAGATAGAAACATCAATGATGAGAGAGAATCATTGATTGGCTGCCTCCTGCACGCCCCCTACTGGGGATTGAACCCGCAACCCAGGCATGTGCCCTTGGCCGGAATCGAACCAGGAACCCTTTAGTCTGCAGGCTGACGCTCTATATACTGAGCCAAACCAGCTAGGG